GACCTGAAAAGCCAGTAACCAAACACCACATGCCCCAACTATTTTACAAAGTGAAATTATACTTGCTTGTGTAACACTCACCAGCAGATCATATGGATAAAGTAGACCCAACAGTCCTATAGAATAGAACTTTTACATCTGCCAAAAAATATGGAGTTTTTAAAGATTCCAAGCTCATTTGAAAAAGCTTACTTCTGTACAGGTTGTTTCCCCTCTTAGTTGCACTAATAGTAGATAAATACTGGAATCAAGAGCATGCTATTGACAGGTGCCAGCTGTCTTTATGTTGATGCCATTTTAACAGAAAGAGTATTTTCTGACAGCCTGACAACAAGGAAGAAACTGTGAAATCAAACAATGGAACCAGTTAAAATGAAAAGCCCGCACGGTAAGGGATGGGAAGAAGGGGAAAGAGCATGTGCAAGACCCACTCATTGCTGGAAACCAAACCAATGAATGACAAAAGGATACATTGTCAAAAAAAAAAAAGAGAGAGAAAATTCCCAAGTGTATACAAACAGAAAGCACAACTCAAATACCACAGTATTAAAGGGGGAGGAGGAAGGCAAAATGAATTAAAAATGTATTCATTAATAACAGTGGGGAAAACAAACTTTAAAGTGAGGACTGAGTCCATCAGTAACTTTCCTCAAGCTTAATTACCAGGAAGTTGCCACTGGATTTCTGCCATTCATTTCAAGAGCAGCAAAGGCAAGGATGAAGGCCAACTTTTGTAGCAGTGCTGCCAGGTTAACAGAAGCCAAGCAAGATTATCACTCTTCATGACGCTTGACTGCAGTGATTACATTTTCTAATCATACTACATTTAATGTGAATTAGTTTGAATCACACCGTCTTTTAAAGTGACCTGCTTAGCTCTACATGAGGAACTTCCTATCTTTTCCAAAACCAGAAAGATGTCTTTTCTCTTCAGGGCCTGGTCTTGATATCTCAGAATACTACACAGTCTAGAATGCCAGAAAATCTGAAACAGGTCTAGAATCAAATCAAATCACTACAAGTAATAAAGCATGATCTGCTTTCCACTGCATGATAAAAGTCTTCATGTATAACTTTTTAGGTTATTTTCAGACTGGCATCATAGGAAAGTTGTTTCTTGCAGTACCCAAATCTATTTATATCCTGATGGTCATGGTAACTCCATGAAAGATGATTCTCATGGCAACCTTGACACTCCAGAATACTTCATTTAAGTATACCTCAATCTACAAGAGATCCGATTCCTCAAGTTATGCCCTCATTATTCCAGAAGAGAAGTACCAAGGCTTCTTAGCGATTACGACTGCTGACAGCACTAGCATACTGCCTCTTCTGGTGCTACTGGGCAAGAACTTAAAAAGCAAAGCAAGTGACACCTTTTCAATCAATTAAACTTTCTTTTAACTGAAGACTCTGGAAACAAATGCTGATAACTGGGCATGAAACCTGCAGTCTCGGGTAACTGGGATTATCATTCCAATCACTAATGCTTTTCCTATAACACATTACCAACTGGAAACCTTCGCTTTGTTGCTTTATGAAGAGTCAGTTACTAACACTCCAAGAACTTCATGTAGTGAGCCTTACTCTTTACAAAGGTAAATTATAAGCATGTCTTTCCATGGTGATAAATAAAGACAAAATATATCAATACAACAAAGATATTTCTTGAAGTCAGTATATTTACTCTTTCCCTCAAGTTCAATAAGTACTTATGGAAAATACAACAGATAATTTTCAATTCAAGATCAGTTTAAGACAATGTCAGAAGTGATTGTTAGGTCACATTTTGGCAAAGACCCTTCTTGCCAAAATATAATACAGCATGGAAAGGATTCAGCTACAGTCTAAAGACCATTTCCATGCCTGCTTGTTCAAGTGCTTTTCAATTTAAATTCAGATGAAGTGATAACAGGAACATTCTGCAAGAAGCCAAAATGTAGGTTTCCCACTTGTTGCCAAGACCAAAACTGAATGGAAGAGGAAATCTGAACTGTGAGGAAGTACCAGACCCCTGAGCATTTTGTATTCTGAAAAGGAAAAGAAGTATCAAGCAGAATCATAGCAAAGCCATTTACTAAACAGAAATGCTCCAGGCAGGGCTGATATCAAGACACCCCAGCACACAGGCCTGGGCCTTTGCCTTTTGAACATGAAGTGTTTTTTAACTTTTATGTAGGTACAAACAAACAAACAAAAAAGTATAAAAATAAATTCTACAACCTTTGTGACCTTTTGCAACAATCTTTTCACATTTTGCAACAACAGCTTTAATATTGTTGATGAAGTTCTGCAAGATTGAAGAAATATCAAGACAGAAAGCTTGCCTACTTTTATTTCATAATTATTCTGAGGCACCCAATAAAAGATGTTATGAATCACCACAAACTGTAATTTCATTCTTTGCATCACATGCAAAAATCTCTTTTTGGTTAGAAATGAATTATTCATAACAATGGTTAAGAATGGGGCCTTAATTTGTCATCATATATGATATAATCAAATTTATCATCACTGAAGTAGCTGGCATGTTTTTAATCAGCATTTACTAATCTTATAAGTCCTATGAACTGCAGACTCAACATCTACACTGTTTAAGAGCAGAGCTTCAAAGGAGCTGCTTACATACGAAGTGTTACAAGTCCATCTTAAATGAGCATAGAACTAAAATGGTAGAAGACGACGGCTTCTTTATATATCATTTATAGGCACAAAAATATAATTTCTAGTGATGGCAAAAGAACAGATAAATTATGGGATTTTTGAGAACAGAATGTAAAAGAGTGATGTCCAGAAGCATTGCTGGTACTCACATACAGGTATTAAAAAAAACACCTAGAAAAACACCTAGAATAAAAAAAAATCCAATGATCTGAACAGTAAGCGTAACAATATATTTACCTTTTATTTACAGTTTAGTGTTTTGGAATGTGTGAAAGGGGATAAATGAAAGCTTCAAATAAAATATGAATGAACAGGCAGCTATATTAGTGTCTTTGAAGCACAAAACTAACTTCACCCAAAAAACCTCATGTCATCTGTCTGGAGGAGCTGGGGAGCAGGGGGGTAACTCCTGACAAAAGAAAAAGAACCTCAACTACATTATTGATGTCTTAAAAAATATTCCTTAGAAAAAACAAGAAAATGGCTCAGATCATGTAAACATTGGTAAATTAAGGACATAATTTTAATGATGCAAGACAATATTTTTTGCCTCAATTTTTCTAGAGCAAGTCCTTCAACTGTCATAGCTAGAAAACTTTCCTGAGACCAGGAAATAGAGGATAATCATTTACAGACTAAAGAAACACTGAAAAATACACTTTGGTGAGTAGACCTGTATATCACAGGGGGGACTACATATAGTCATGAGTCTGTTTCACTTAATATATTCTGATCTTCTATAACTCTTTTATTAATAACACTGAATACCAGATGTATGATTCCAGATCTCCCATGTTCTCTAAATGACAATTATTTCAAAGCAATAATGCACATGCACTTAGGTATTTAAAGTCAGTCCAAAAGATTTGGTTTCAAGTTAAAGCTCACTAAATTTTCTGAACACCTAATGCTGGGATACAATTTGCCATTACACCCAAAATTAAGAATGCCAAAGGCAAAAAAACATACTTTTCATTGGAAGAAAAAAGTAAGTTTCAGAAGCCAGTTCCTTCAATCTACTTCCTACCACACAAACAAAAGTTAGGTATCCATATGTATACAAACAGAGGTACCTGTGTGTATATACATAAATATGTACACACACACACACACACACACACACACACACACAGATTCTCTCTAGCAAAAAGTAAGCACCAGTAGTCATGCCAATAAAACTAGTAATTAATTGTACCATGATGTTTTCTCTTACATGTCCATCCCCCCCACTGAATCTTATATCATTGCCAAGAGATGCATTCAATACCCTGGATGGCTGCAGGTATACCCACTGACTTTTTTTCATTTTTCAGCTCCTAATCTAGCGAGTCTTCCTTCAAAAGTGCTTTAAAATTAACACAATTCCTAACGTATGTGCAGGAAAATTGCCAAATCCTTTCTCTAATAATTAATTACCTCCTAACTTGATACCTATGGCTTAAAAACCATGATTTGTTCTCTATGAGAGCATAAACCGATAACAATATTTCTCAAAAAAGCTCCAGCTAGAAAACAACAGATTTTATTTTTAGACCTCCAGGGTTTGCTTTTCTTCAGTGAGTGTCTTACACAAAAATACAAGAGAGCTAACAAGGATTCAGATTTTTGTGACATTTAGGATCCCTATTTTAAACACAGATTGGTTACAAAGTTAACACTACCGCATTGAGAGAGCTGGAACTACAAAATGAATTTATAAACCTCTTGAAGAATATGCTAATCACTATGCAAACCTAAGTAATTCTTAACCAGACATCTGCATCTTCAGGTAGTAAGCAAAGAGCAGGACACAACCAACATTTTATTCAACAGCACACTTTATAGACTCTTGTCCCAACGCAGTATGTAAAGAAACAGAGGTATCTTTAGAAGCAACATACTATCCAGTCTCACAAAAAAGCACATACTGGCAAGTTCAAGAAAACAAGAAGCAGAACAACTTGAATACAGACCAGTCAATAATCCACAAACAGTGACACTTGCACCTAAGTGTCCGCATGCCTCATTCTTTAAGACAGCTAAGAGGGTGGGTGGGTAGGACAGAAAGCTTGACAAGTCCTTCCAGTTCTAACAAATGGAATACAAACTTATTATTTCTTCACAAGAGTTTCCTCTTTCCTTCTTAAGAGTGCCCAAATACATGGTTCCAATTCTTAGTAGATGGCAGATACACTCTCCTATTGACATTTTAAAAACTTAATTTTTTAAATAACTCCAGGGTAATGAATATTATTTACTTGCATATTAAAAATACCACCAGCAGTCAGTATTTACTCCATGTATGCCCCATTGCAGCCAAGCAAGCTCTTGTTTCTCCAAAACACAGTGGCATTTACCTCACTGACCTTGGGACTGCCTTCCTCCAGTATTTCTCCCTCATCAGTTTGCATGGGAACAGGATCTGTGCAAAGCTCTGCAGAAATGCAAAATACTGCCTAAAAGATAAAAAAGAAAGATATTTTCAAAACAATGATTTTTCCACCTTTACCAGTGTGAGATTGCAGTGCACGTAAATAACAAACCTAAGCTATGACCTTCAATGTTCCCCTTCTGCAAGTATTTGCTGAATTTATGTTTTACACAAACAAGACAACTGTTATTCAGGACAAGACATAACTCAATTAAGATGGGAAAAAAAACCAAAACACACCTAACAGGAATATACTTTCTTTTTCATTTTAAAATCTGCTATTGCTGAGTATTTACTCTATTGTGTTTACTCATGAAAGCTACAGTCAGTAAGGAATACTCACACAGACTAGAGCTGAGCAGTTCTTACTTACTAATAGCTTTTGTACAAATAAAAGCTTCAGAAATTCAACTTACAGACAATCTAAAGTTTATTAGTTTGAAAAATTATTAGACTCCCAATGAAGTCTCAGTAGCTTTGAATTCTTACTTTAGGGAATTTTTTTACTTCATTTTAGAAATAAATACATTCTAGGCTGTAAACAGTTCAGGGAATTGATAAACTCATTCATCTGTAGGTTGACATTTCCAGACTAACCCAGGTTAACAGCTCCCAGTGTTTCCAGTATTCAACACTACTTGGTAACTTGTTTTTAAATTTTTTTAACAGTGTCAGCGCAGTCTCAACTGAGCAAAATCTACACCCCAAACTCCACCCTTAGAATTACAAAATAACTTATGGAAGAATGCAGTACAGTTAGGGAGACTTTGGTTACAAAGATTAGAATGTCTTCTACTCCAGAAGATAAGCCATCTTTCAGAGGTAACAGATCGAATCAATTAACAGGTCAAACACATCAGCATAAATTTGGCAGGAATCTCTCACATTCAAAATGCAAAATATAAGCTATCAACAGGTCTGTAACATTCCAGGTATGTGGAAAGTAAGGGCTCACACCACATTAAGAACTCTCTTAAAGCCACAAGCTGTTGGCTGTTAGCAGCTGTCTCTCTCAAGGTGCTGTAAGTCTTCAACTGCACCAGCATTTAAAACCCACTTAAAGCCTCTCCACCTGCACCTCAGGTACAGAGCTGCTGATTCTACTATCACCTTGAAAGCAGAAATTCCATGACTGGAAACTGACAATTCTGGAAGTGCAAATAGTAATGAGGTCAAAAAGAGAATCCTTAGAAATCGTTCATCCAGATGCACCTTCTTCATTGCAAGGTTAAAGCTTCTTCATAAGGGAAGGCTGTCTGCACAGCCAACATCTTCTGTATGTTGTGGATAAGTAGACAACACCTTTCATGGCTATTAAGTTGACACAAGGAATGAAGAATGCATTCTACAAACATAAAGGGCCTGAAGCTACAAATGTTACATGCAACTCATTAAATCTTATAACCAACAACTTGTTATGTTCAGCAGTATATATTCTCATACAAAGCATGACAATTATAAAGACTTTCAGTATAGTCATTTCTTTTTCTGGGGAGAGAGAAAGGAGGATAAAGCAGACCTCTCACTCCAGTCCTCACCAAATATCCTGCCTACAGCATATAATCAAAAATAGGTATCAAATGGTAAGCATGACTTGTATCACGCATCTATGCCAAGATCCTCCTGCACAGAACAAGTATTTCCTGCTGCCAGGCCATGTTCTGTTCTGCAGGAGGAGGGGAGAGGACAGGCCGGGCAGTCCCTGTCCATGGTACTTCGCCATGCTCTGCTTCAGAAACCACGTCAGAGCTTCTGGAGCTGGGAGCTTCTGAGCATGGTTTTGTAATAGCTCGATTGTTAGACAGATAGCCTGATGTCTAATGACCAAAACAGCTTTCGCTAGAAGGACTGATGAGGCACTGAACAGTCTTCAAATCAGGGAAACAAGCAAGACTGAACTTGAGCTACACAAGCATTAAAAAAAAAGCTTATAAAATAAACCAAGAGACAGACAGGCCAGGCCAAGACCACATCATTGTTCATTCAGAGTGCTGGAAGAACTCACAGATGAATCTCTGAAAAACTGCATTGTTTAGCTTCTGAGATATCCCGGAATAGAAACTGGCAATACTTTGACACCAGTTTTTATATATTACTCCGGGAAGAAGACAAAAGCCTTCCAACCAGTGGATACCAAAGAAAACAAAAAATCAGTACAATTAGGAAATAGAAAAAAAAAAAAAGAAAGGCTACAAGAACAAATAAATCAGATCTCCCACAGATGACAGATTAAATATGCTGAACTATCCATAGCTCAGAGTAGGAAACAGAAAAACAGAGAGAAAGAAATCCGTAAAAAAGCAAACGTATTGGAGAAGGAAAAGAGTTTATTCACTCATTTGTCCTGTAATTCATCACCTTTAATGCTCAGAACATGTATCATGCTATTTCAATGCTCAGTTAGAGTGACCTCACCAGCATGGGATGGTGAGAAGAGGGAAGTTTTAAAAGATTGCAACTTAGTTCTGGAAAATTAAGATTGCAACTTAATTCACAAGGGGAAAAGAAAATCCATCAATATCTTGCAGCTGGTGTAAGAAGACCCTAGGTCACAGGTCACAAGAGGAAGTCTCGCTGAACACTACCCTTCTATTGTATTTTGCTCCATTGGATCTGCTTCTGGCTTCTTTCAGGAGACATCAGGCAACAAACTGTAAGCCCAATTCAACAGTATAATTTTTACGTCCTTTCTGATTACATGAATTCTTGATTCCCATGGCCACTGACACGAATGCTATATTTCAAGTTTACTGCCAAAGGCAGCCATTTGGGGATTCCTGAATCCATGGGAAACTATACCTGGCAGACTTTTGTAGGAGACATTCACAACTGTGCGTGACTTCTCAGCCAACAAAGTGAGGCTCAGCACCAGCATGTGAAGAAATAACAATTAATCCATGTTGTTGACACCACCCCTTAGACTCACTAGCTTCCAAGCAGAGGGCTGAAGGTCACAGACAGGGTAATCTTATACACAGAGGATAGACAGACAACCAGAATTTGTACTCGTGTCCTACAGGATTGGGAAAAAGGCCAATGTTAAAAGGCATTTATTTACTTACTTCCAATATTTTTATGATATGCCAGATTACCGGGGATAACACAAAGTTTATAAACATTCCATTTGGATTTTCAGATGCAACATCTATCAAAAACACTCCTGGAAAAGGTCAAAAGTAAAATAATCTTATTCATTCTTGTGTATAACCAACAAAACTACTCAGATGGGACTGAAATCCCCCAATCTTTTTATTCAGATGGCATCCTCTAGAAAAATTAACCAACTTGGGCTTGAGTCCCCTTTCTGCAGAAAAGATGCACACATTTCACTCAGTGATGTCAGAATGATGGATGCAGCAGTTATAAAAACAGTGTAAGCTGAACAGCGCAAAGCACTGTATGGAGACTATCTCTTCGCTACTGCATTGTTGCACACTGGCAAGTAATGCTGGAGCCAAGCAGTAGTGAACAAGGTATTCATATTCCCTCAGGTAGAAAGCTTCACCATTCAGAAACACAAGGTCCTCATTAGCAACACAGAGCTGGAATCCAAGTGTCTTCAAATTTACTGCTCATCAAACAAGCATCACTGGAAATAAGCACCTTATCTAATGCAGCAAACACTATTTTTCAGGGTACCAGCAGCAATCCACTGTTGACTAAAGAATAAAACTGTTCTTTGTTTGATAGAGGGGGGAAGAAAACCAAAACCAAACCATTTCAAGCTTCTGAAGAGTGCACCTGTAAGAGAAGCACTTATTAACGTAAGCCCAGTAGTGATTCCTGTGAATTCCAAAGTCTAAATTAGATATGGCCTGGTGGAAAAGCTGTGAAGGACAAAGGCTGTGCAAACTGTAACCATAAGGGATAGTAAACTGAAATTGAAGGTAGGTCGGAAACTCTCTCATAAGAGCACAAAGCAAAGCAGGCACAAAAGTGCTCTTCAAAGATGCGATCATGTATACAAGGCATATTTGAGAAAAAGCAGTTAAAACAAGGCTGAACTGAACTGAGACTAGGCTTGACACAATCACATTGATACGCAATTGCAATCATTAGTCTCCATCTAGATACAAACCAAAAAAAATGTTAATTTTTAACAGATGGTCTAGCCATGTTATACTTAATTGCTACAGCTTTACATTATACCCAGTTTAAGATTACACAAAAGCAAGTGAAAATTTAATATATGGAAAAGTACAGAATATTTTTGTCCCTTAAATGCAAATTGAGAGGTACTGAGACAAAAGCAAAGGCATGCAGAAGATCAACAAAACCTGAATATAACTTCATTGCTTGTAGGAACTAATTGCTTAACTATTACAGTGACTTTCAAATCTTTTAATAAATTAATAACTTTTCAAAAAAACCTGCATCGTATACAACAATTTTAGCCAACAAAAACAAATCCTATCAGGCAGTTCCAGAAAAAACTTCATACCCAAACCCACAGGAAATGACACACTAGGAAGTATATGAAAACAGTGATGTATGATAGAATCATAGAATGGTTTGGCTTGGAAAGGACCTTAAGATCATCCAGTTCCAACCCCCCTGTCATGGGCAGGGACACCTCATCCTAGACCATGTCACACAAGGCTCTGTGCAACCTGGCCTTGAACACTGCCAGGGATGGAGCATTTACAACTTCTCTGGGCAACCTGTGCCTCACCACCCTCTCAAGTAAAGAACTTCTTTCTTTTATCAAACCTGAACTTCTCCTGCTTTAAGTCTGAACCCATTACCCTTTGTCCTATCGCTATAGTCCCTGATGAAAAGTCATCCTAAAGTTGGTTAAAAATGAGCATAGGTTAATGTTCTCACCTCCAACTTTCAAGAATGCAATATTAAATTTTGGTTGATTTTTACCTTTGACAGTTTCCAAGGGCTGCCAAAGCCCACAAGGATCCGTCCTGGCTACATTCAGTGCAAAAACAAAACCCTAAAAGGAGACAAAGAAAAAAAAAAAAAGGAATTTAAAAAGTCAGCCAGCTGTGGGCATTAGTAGATAAAACACATGTAAAACCAGAAGTCAATGCTCCCAAAGCACTTAGGAAAAGCCATATTAGTCCTAAAATCATGCAGAGTAAACAAAATATTGTAATCACAAAAGCAGCAATACAGGCCCCTCTCACCCCTTTCCCACTGTAATTTGTGCAGTAGTGGGGAGATGGGGAAAACAGCTACAGTTAGGGTTAGAGTTAAGGAGAGAAGTACATTTTTCCTCACTATTCTTCCACTTCAACTGCCAACCCAGTCTAGGAAATTATTCTTCCAAGGCAAGAGATTTACTATTGCAAAAAGCATTGACTTGCTAAGCCTCAGGCTCAAATTTAGGCTTTTACAGAATAAACCTGCACCACTGCTGGAAATGTATCTTTAACTCAGAGAAAAATGTTAAAAACGTAATACTGTTTACTGCTTCTGCATACTTACCCATCACGACACAGCTTAAACTAACAATCAGTTTTGAGGAAAAAAATAAAAATAAAAAATAAAAAAAATAGAACCCTTAGAGTATAACCCACCAAACCATTTAAGAGCCATCTTACACCTGGTATCTATTGTATTTAGTCTGCTGACTGATGAGCTTCCTTTGAATCTTCATGAATAGTATAGATACTAGCCTGATGCTGAAGAGTAACAATGTACCTTACATAATGCTGCATGACAGAAACCTCAAACTGATATTGAACAGGCATTTCCCCTTTCAAGGATTTACTGTCAGAACCAGAGTTTCTGTAAACTTTGCCACTAGAACCACTTGGGAGGGTGGGTGGGTGGTGGGAATAAAAATCTAACGTTTCCTCAAAAAACTAATGGCAATTCCTCCTAAAATAAATGCCACTGTTTAAACCAAGCATTGTGAATTTTATGTGATGAAAAAGTTATTTGTTATTTGTTTGGCAGCAAGTTACAATTTCCTCATTATTAATCATTAGATCAACCTCAAGTTTTTAACTGTTTATTTACTATGCACAGGTACAAAACTGAAATGTTCATTTTTTTACCCAGAAAAGAACATGCAAGCAAAGTGCTAGCAAAGCAGACTACATGCAGTCTTCCCAATCACTTGCAAGCAGTTTTTCCAAGTGAAAAAATCTACGTTAAGTACATCACCAGCTTAATATTATGATGTCCCAAAAGTGTTAACAACCTTAGAGCCCACACCTAAGTTGAGAATGTTTTTACTACTCATGGCATTTTAAATCCTTGTTAGAAACTAAGGCTCTGGAGGCAGAAGTCTAATAAAACTCGAACTCTTGATAACTTTTTCTGTAAGTGAATGCATACTTTGAAATTAGTAAGAAGCCAGAACACTTAGCACTTCACAGTAAAAAAAAACCAAACAAAAAAAACAATCCAAAAAAATAAAACAAAAAAAACAACCCAAAACTAAAAGCACCACAAAAATAATAATAACCCCCGCCCCCCCCAAACAACAACAACAAAAAAACAAACAACCAAAAACAAACAACCCAAAACACTGCTTTCATCTTAGTGAACTAAGTAACTTCTCAACTTGGTGAACTAAGTTGAATTTACCTGGCTTCACTAGGTAGCAGGAGATCAAGAAAACACCTCTACTACTGAAATATATTGAAAATAATAGGCAGAGGTAACCCACTCCATTCACAGAATCGTAGAATGGTTTGGGTCAGAAAGGACCTTAAGATCATCCAGTTCCAACCCCCTGCCACGGGCAAGGATGACTCACCTTAGACCATGTCACCCAAGGCTCTGTCCAACCTAGCCTTGAACACTGCCAAGGATAGAGCATTTACCACTTCTCTGGGCAACTGTTCAAGTGCTTCACCAGCCTCATAGTGAAGAACTTCTTCCTTGTGTCTAACCTGAACTTACCCTTGGTTTGAACTACAGAAGAAAAAAAAAAAAAAAGATTCCTCAACTGAATGTTTAACTATTACCCATCTGCTTAGGACATCCCAGAAATATCCATCCACACCATTTAATACACTATTATTAATCTATGCTGACAAGTAACCAATACTTTATAGGTGGAGTCAAAGGCTGTTGTTGACTTAGCAGTTTTATCACGTTTCTTACATGTACCTCTATCCAACAAGAGGATCAGACAAAAAGCAAGACCAGTGAAGGGTCTGTGCAGTTTCTGACAGTATAGGATCTTAAGCTGGAGAACAGGATACATTGCAGAAGCTGGCCAAACCGCAGTTTTTCCCAGAAAGGGATTGAACCAGGCTGGATACTGAAATACTGTAGAATTAATATCTAGCAAAAGCATTCACATTCCAGCCAAACCACCACATGCTTAGGAATCACTGATGTCTCCACGGGAAGACAGAGAACTGCTGCTAATTATGCCAATAATCTGTCTTATCTCATTACAGAATCTTATTCAAGAAAAGGAGTATGGATTCCTGTCCCTAGCTGAAAAAAAGGCTCTCAGCAGCATCTAATTTTTACTAGATATATGACAAGGAAAGACTGATTATCCTCCTCCTGTTACTCTGACAAATTTAGCTTTATTTAACAATGTTAATTAGCAAAGTCAAAGCAGCACAAGAGAGTAGAAACCAGTGAAAACAGTTTGGGTTAAAGGCAGAACATGATGTGTAGCTGAGCAGGACTGCAAAGGTGTTACAGGAAGAAGAATCTCAGTCTCAGCCACAGTGAGAACATAAATTTAAGTATCATGCCTACATCACCTAATTCAAATCCTCAGAATATGTATATACTTTGGCCAGGGCTTTAGGATGCATCAACCCACCTACTGGACTGCACAGGGCCAGCAAATCAGACACAGTTTGATAAGGTAGCCAGAGGGGAGGAAAGAGAAAAACAAATTAACAACCCACCCACAATTTAGGCACCATTCCTCTAACAGAAGAAAGTGGAGGACCTCCCTCTTCTCTCCAAAAACTGTGACAGTTCTTAACCTAGTATTAATGAGCTAACTACAACACTTACTTATTAGCTCAGGCACACTGAAAGATCAGACTCAGTTTCTGTTATTGCAAGATAATGGAGACAATTCATTATACCTACATACTGCTGGCTTACATGTACTAACTCCTAACCTGATAGACTAGAACTGTATGCATGTACAGTGTAACACCCCAAATTTTCTGCATATATTTCTAGTTCCAATACAGTGAAGTGCAGCAATTTGCTTAGCTGGGTTAAGAAATCTATGAAGCAGCAGAATATCCTGTTCAGAATCGCAACTCCTAGACTAGCTTTCTTCTACCAGCATTCTTTAGAGTGCTGCACATCCTCCCACATCTGTGCACCAAGTTCTTTACTTACACAAATACCTCCTTTCTGGTCATCTCCTATAAGCTGTTGCTGTGGGAACATGAACATATTCCAGGTACACAGAACTGAAAGGAACAAGCTGCCATCAGGAAAGTGTTTTCTTCACATTCTCCACACACACAATCTCCTATCCAAACCTGTAGAAACAGTAAACACTGGCAGCATGTGTGAAAGAATTTGTTGATGACTATGAGATACAACAGAAGAGTAGGAAGCTCTAAAAATACGATTTCTACTCACAACCGGGCAAAAACATGAGGTGAAACTTGTTTTTTGTTTAAGAGCTGAGAGAACACACATAAGTGTGCTCAAGGAAACTGATTACATAATCCTACAATAACTTCTGAATACTAATTACTATGTGTAAAAATTAATCCCACTACCTGCCAATTGTGGGGTGTTTAACCCTGTTTTGAAAGGATAAAGTAGCAGCAGCACTGAGTTGCCTAACACTCGAGCCCATTCAGAATCCACCATTCTGTCTTAACCACAGCTAGAATTAAATACTTCAATTTTGGTTTTGCAAAACATAACCAACTTCCAGGAATGAAAAGAGGACCAGAACTACTGGTTTACCACTATACATCCAAGTTAACATCACTGAAATCTAAATTCTTCCAGTTGCCACTATTCAGGCACCATAAAGATTTGTTGTGAAGGTAATCAACAGCTGGTATGTTTCTAAATTCACTGCATCATCTTTGTTTGCTATGCCTCATGCTTAATATACAGCATTATTCAGTGACAAACTGTTCCCATCATTGGACTAGCTGACATAAACTAAGGATTTTTTTTCCCCTGAGCTTCCAACACTAACAAAAGAGCTTTCTGGGCATGATTTTCATTCAAACAGTTTCTGACTAGAAAGGGTACATTTGGAGACAAAAGGGGGCCTTTGCCACCACTGTGGTTTAAATGTCCCTTTGCTAAGTGGGTAGATGCTTGACAGCAGCAAATTTTAAACTTAGCTCTGACTTATGTTGTGGAATGATTACGACAAAGCAACCACGAGCACACTCTACCCAAAAGCCTCAAGCTGTCTAAAAACATCACCTTACAATAAATAGTTACTGATGGAACTACACAGAAACATCACCCAATTAGGGTACTGGGAAGTTGGCTTAAAGTCATGCAAAATTTCAAAACAATAAATACTTCATGTTTTTTCATACACAGCACACTGGCACTGAACAGTCATGATTTACTTAAAAAAAAACAATAATTAAAAATTCTCGACGACAATCCAGGTGTCACTGCAGTAGTCTTTCTCCACTTATCAGAAAGAAGAGGGAAATGTAACTTGTAATCAATTAGAAAGAATTCCCTATGAGGAAAAGAGATGCTACTGGTACTTGAGAGGGATTTACAATCTCTTTCTTTCACATTGTTTAGAACAATTTCTTTGCATTATGTAGGTGGAAGGAAATCCAGGAAAGATTAGCACTTCAAGGAAAGACTAAAGATATGACCCTACTAAACAAAGCAGCTGGGAGGAATGGGAGAAGGCAGAAATCTTCAGCCTTTTATCAAAAAATAAATCCAGAGAACAGCATTTAGCAATGGTGACTAAGTACCCCACAAAATCACCGAGTTCTAAACAGGATGCGGGTTAAAATGTCCATTATGTTTAATTCCGTGTTGGCT